ATTTTCAATGAAATTGATCCGTCATTCCATTGTACAAAATGGGCATTTGATTGTTTAATGATTTCATCATTACCACTGTTAGTGTATCTCCATCTTATAGTATTTTCATTTAATAATTTTTCTGCATTTAAATCATTTTGGACTTGTTTTGCACTCATAGAACTATTCTTTCTTTCAATTGCATTTTGACCAACTTTCTCCTTAAATTCAGTAGGGTCGAATGGATGGGCTTCTACATTCAAAAACACTGGCATTTTCAACGTATATGTGTCTTCCTCTGGCTTATGTGCTACAGCATGACGAGGTAAAGCTATATCAAGTGTTTTCAACTCTTGTTCCTCTTCTTCGTCTTCGTCGTTTTCATCTGCATCATTCTCGTCTTCGTTATCTTCATCGTTCTCCATTTGCGTTTCAGTTTGTTGTTCTTCTTCATCTTCACCGAATAAGTCATCAACATCTTCATTTTCCTGATTTACGCCATGATTATTTGCTTCTATTTCTGACATTTTGATCTAAAGTAGTATATCCATCCAAATAGAAATAGAAATAGAAAGTAATACACCTATTTTACTGAATTTTTCAGTCAAGATTCAAATTTTGGTTAATACACGAATTTACAGACCTTATGGCTTCTTACAGAGATCATTAATAAAGATACATTAATATACAATAGATTGTACAATTATAAGTACACTTAAAGATTCAAAATTAACGAAGCAAAAGAAATAGAGTACCAGTATAGATAAATAGAATTAATACACGTAATCATACGAAACTTCCTTAGTAATACAAACAAGTTATGCCAATCAATCAACTTTAGTGTTAGACACCTTTATTGGTGCTGTCGAAACAACAATAGAAACATTAGGAGTGTAATTTGCTTCTTCGAGGGTATTATTGCCATCGGTAACAAACTGAATCTCATCTGCGCTAATTACTGAGTTTTTAATGTCCACTTCCGGTGTATCGTCCTCATTTTCATCATCAGTTATTCCGAAGTCATGATCTGAATCCACAATAGACAAAGATTTTGAATTGACATTATTCTGATATCCAACCAAGTCTTCGTGGTTAGATGATGACGATAAGGATTTGCTATGATAACGTTTGAAAGTAGGTTTGTTCAATAAACGGTGCGATTCAATATCTAACGGAGTTGTGCTCGTTGACGTCAAATTATTGGCCGCATCTTCCGATTGCTGAGATAACTGGTTTCGACCTTGTTGCTGCTGATGTTGTTCTCGCGATGGAATATGTGACTGATTTGATTCACAATCAGGCTGGCCTGCCTTGTCCAATGACGTAGACGAAACTTGCTTCGACCTGGACGTTCCCAGTTTTGACGGATTCTGGTTTGGTAACAATATATAGGCATATTGAATTAAAAATTCAACTACCAATTGGGATAATGCATATTCTACCGGATCCATATCATGACTTGGATGCGATAAAATAGACGGTTGGAATATTGCTGCTAAATTTCTAGACGGCATCAAATTCTCGCTGGAATTATTTTGCACCATTGCCAATAAATCTAATATATAGAATAATAGTTGTTTTGATAAATTCGGTAAATTGCCAACCATTGCTTTATATTCATCAATAGCATCATGTATATCTTTGGTTAATTTCGTATAATTCTTTAGCTTCTTAGCTTTGCTCTTACTGTCGATATTATTCTTATTAGCAGCTTGACTTAAATCTGCTTGGGATTGAGAATTTGACTGAAGGTTCGAATGTGATCGAGATGGAATTTTCGATGTATTTTTCGAATCCCAAAGGTCTTGTGAATCTTGCGAGATAGACAGATTTGATTTATTTAATCTCCCAATATTTGTTTCTGTTAGCGGTTGAGAGTCGTTTGAGGGCAATAACTCAGGATTTGTTCTGGTTTTGTTATCATCATTATTTAACGAAAGATCAGTAGTTGACTTTTTATATGGTTTATTTGGATTTTCCGCTTTGTATTTCATATAGTGTATTATTCTTTGTCTCTTTCTCAATGGTTCTCTAAATGACTCATATAAATCCAAAGTTATTAATGGTTCGGGTAAAGCGTTTAAGTATCTCCTTAAAACTGACGCCGCATCGTGAACTGTATAGCCATCCCAGTTCAATTTTTTTCCAAAGTCTGGAGGCGAATTAAATATCAATTGTAGCTCTTTTACTCTTTTCGAGGAACCTCCAACTCTGAATATACCTTCGATATTCAAACCATTTGCTTTTAAATAAACCCCACACTTAGCCACCACAATGGGAATTTTTCCATATTGTAGAACATGGTCAGAGGCCTCATTTGTCAATATTGATATTTTGGCTGACGCCTGTTTTATAGCTTCTTCCAATGTCACGCCAAAGTATTTGCTGTTTTCATCCACAAGCGGATTATGTTGTAAAAATGAGTCTCTGTGCTGTCTTATACTGGAACTCTTTTCCGATTGGTTAAACGAGTTCGAACGGACTCTGTTCAAATTATTCGTCGATCTCGACTTGTGGTGTAGTATTGGTCTCAAAAACTCCTGGTGTGAATGCGGACTCTGCACTTGGGTCTGGCTGTTATTTATTGACTTCGTAGGAGATCTTGATTCTACCGGAAACGCGTCGTTATCAGAAGGCAAATCGTTGACACTATCGCTGGATATAAGACTGCCCCGCTTCAAGTTCTTAACCCACCCAAAGATTGAATTCCTGTTAGTTGGCGACAGCGAATGGCTCATACTACTAGTTCTGATTATTCCGCCAACGCTCTCACTATTTTCGCCTGCAAATTACTAATGTCAATCACAAATGGCCAAAATCACGTCTAATTCTAGCCTTCTTTTTGTTTGCAAATACACTCTATAAAGATATCTCTCAAGTATCTGTGTTCACAATTATCGTTGTAACTTAATTGATCCGTTTAACCGCAACTATTAGCTTTTCTAAATCTCTGATGCAATAACTGCTCAGCAAATAACGCTATTGCTATCTTCAGTATAATATACTATCAAATCAGTTTATAAGTTTACAAAAAACTCTATAACTATAGTCTTTCAATACGAACACCGCTGTAACTGATATTTTAGGCCTTCTAGCGTACTTTACCTTCCTTGTACTAGTATAAAGTAGTACTATTGTTATTAATGTCCTTTTTTTATTTTTAACCATGAACATGTGGTTTACAGGTTAGAGTTGCAGCCCCATGTTTTACAGTTTAGATAATAGGCGAAGTCTAGACTTACTTATACCAGTTATTACTACTTTGGACATCAATGTCTATTTACAATAAAGATCAGAGTATATTTATAGAACTATGAAGACTATTAATTCAATTGGACGTAATTTCCGGGGAATACACCGGTTTGGCCATTGTACTTTCCAGTCCACCACCCGTTGGTGTCTTCGGTTCTTTGTAAAATTTCGATGACCGCACCAGCCGTGAAACTTAAGTCACCTTGGGCCTGCGCCGCGTAGTCGTATAATGCTGTACAAGTCTGGGCGGTAGGAGCACTTTGGGGAGTAGGAGGTGGCATACCGTAGGCACTTGGAGGAGTCGATACGGCTGCTGCAGATGAGGAGGGGGAGCTGTAGCCGGCATATGATCCAGACGTTGGCGAAGCTACTTGGGTCCCGTAGGCAGGTTGGGCCCCATAAGCAGGTTGAGCACCATAAGCCGGCTGGGCACCATAAGGCTGCTGGGCATCAAAAGTAGGCTGGGCGCCAGGACCCTGGGGCGACTTGTAGTCGCCATATTGTGGAGTTGTAGGCGATTGAACACCGTACTGCGACCCTCCAGGGGAATAAGGAGGTAACTGTTCTTGGGTGGTGCCACTGCCAGCCGTGCCTTGGGCCATGAGTTGATGGCGTCTCTTGGTGGCATCTAATTTGTTTTTGGCATGCCCCACCTTGAAGTGGGTAATGCTGATGGCATCTGCGCGTTCTTCGATGTCACCCTTCTTCATGGTGTACGCTTCGACGATATCGGAATTCAAGTCGAAGTACGGGATCTTCAATTCTTCCATTCTGGTGTACAACGTGTAGAAAATGTTCAATTGCATGTAGTAGAAACTGATGAACAAGGGTTTGATGAAATCGGATTGCATCTGGAATAACACTGGCAATTCGTCCTTCAACATATTGTTGTAGTAGTCGTATTCCTCCTGGGCGATCTGCATTTCTGCCTCCGCCCCGTACATTCTTTCTTCGTCCTTGGGAGTTTTCTCCTTCTTTTCGGCGTACTTGGTGTACGTCCGCTTGCGGCGATCCAAGTCCACTTGTTTGTGTTCTCTTTTGGTGGCCATCTTCCGAATCGACTCAATCACCTTCAACAATTCCTGTGCTGGGTTGACAATTCTCTTTTCAATCAACTCCAAGTCCGGTTTCAATGCCTCCTTCAATTCCTTCACCACCTCTCTGTATTGTTCCGAGGCCTGGATCCCGTCGGGGTTGTCCTCTGGCACCGTCGCACTTGGGTCCGACAATCTCCCACTGATAGGCTTATAAATCTCTTCAATCGCCTTTGAAAAGTCTATTTGGTAATCTAACATCCCGTTGACTGCAGCAAAATATCTCTTGGATTCGGTGCTTAACTTCTTAGTTTCCAATTCCAATTCCCTAAACCTACGCTCGGCATCCAGGTAAACAGCATCCTGGGTGACCTCTCCCATGTTCAACTTCTGGCGGAACGTTTGAGGTGCCCTTACAATCGATTTCTTTAAACCTTTGAATGACATCCTTCTTCAATTAATTGCCACTCTCTGTATATTTTCAATGCTATTCTAACTATTTCCCTACTTGGTCCGTATGGATTTTCAAGCTCCAAGCAATCTGATGATGGTAGTGTGATGTACAATTATTCCCAAATTGTGTACCCGATCAATTTTGGCAGATTTTCAATTTGCAGCCACAAATCGAGTACAATAAACCCACTAATAGGTTTTCTTCTGTGATATGCCCGCCACTTTTTAGGGATAAGATACTCATAGAAAGTAATCATCTGCTTTTAATACAGAACAGTATTAATGGAGGGTAATTTTATGAGAATTTCTGAAGAAAAAGAACCAAATAGGCCGCAGCCGACGGTCCTTGGGCGGTTAGAAACGATTATCAAATTTGTATTTAGATACGTTATTTTGCCATTGTTGCTATGGGAGTTGGGGATCCGGTCTTACTATAAGATTATTCTCGGAGTATTTAATATGATATTCAAGGTGTTACTGTTATTTTTGGCGCCAGAAAATGGGAGGTTGTTTAATGGAATCAGTGGGGATGATGGGTGGTACAGTGTAAATAGCGCTGGTGGGGCTGACATGGATGGGTTGTTTGACGAAGTTCTCAAGGAAGGAAAAGTTAATGTAGGAAAGAAGTCTGATACATTTATGCTGAGAATCAATTCTAGGTACCGATGGGTGATGGACGGGATTGAAAGCCAGCAAATATGGCAGTTAATCCGGGAAAATGTAGAAGAATTATACTTTATATTCGAGAAAGCGGATTATGTATTCGATAGATACGTCAAACACTCGCCGTTTTGTATTTTGAACAAGTTCAACCCCAATGGAAAGAAGTCCCACTATGAATATGAGGGCATTCCCTTAAGCAAGTTCGAGGGCTTTGGGAGCTATCTTCTGTACAAGCGATTGGGAACTAAAACCCTCACAACCACAAAGCCACGTTTACATCCAACACTTCCTCCTACAATGACTGCAATACAGAAACCAGTGGTGGCAAAAGGCGATGCCCTAAAAGCAGAAGTAAATCCCACCGTATCCAGACTGACACAAACTGAAATGATCAAGCCCGCTAAGGAAAGGACCGTGAGCGTTTTTAGTCCACCGGTGTTTAATTTTGCAGCAAACTCTTTTGCACAGTCGGTATCCAACGAATACAAGCATGCAAGTCCCAAACGTATCAAATTAGATAATTCAAGAATTCAGGCCCCCATAATCAAGCCAACGCAAGACAAACCGAGACCGTCTACAAACGCCAGCAAGCCCCGGGTCATTAATATTGAATTTCCAAACAAACAAAAGTCGGGATTTAAACTTTTAATTAGGCCTAAACATGAACCGAGTATTAAAAAGCAGAAGCTGGGTATTGAGGTCTTATCCACCTCAAACACTAAGAGGATCACGAAATCTATATCAGTTGATGATGTAGAATACGTAGAAAAAGTTGAGTATGCAATCAAGCAAGTATTACCCAAGCCCGATTATGACGATGGGTCCTTGGGTCCTGTAATTTTGCGACTTGCATGGCATTGCTGCGCTACTTACAATAAATTCACTGGTAATGGTGGTTCAAATGGTTCAACTATGAGATTTGTTCCTGAAATTACTGATGATGGCAACACTGGTCTTGATATTGCACGATCTGCACTCGAACCTATAAAACAAAAATACCCTGCTATCACCTACTCGGACTTATGGACCCTAGCTGGTAAAATTTCTATTCAAGAAATGGGGGGTCCGGAGATACCATGGAGGTGCGGTAGAGTTGACTGCATTGACGACAGATATGTCCCACCCAACGGCAGATTACCATTCGCATACAAGACTGCCAACCATATTCGGGAAACATTCGGCAGAATGGGGTTCAATGATAGAGAAACCGTCCTGTTATTGGGTGCACATGGTTTAGGAAGATGTCACAAGAGGTTCAGTGGATGGGAAGGAAAATGGACCGAAAACCCCACTTCGTTCTCTAACGACTTTTATAAGGTGTTGTTAGATGAAGAATGGAGTCTAGGAACGGTGCCCGAAACAGGAAAAGAGCAGTATTATAACAAAGACAAGTCACTAATCATGCTAAATACCGACATTGAGCTAATTAGAGATCCTCACTTCCTACATTTTGTTAAGCTATATAGTCAACACCAAGCGACATTCTTTCAAGATTTTGCTAATGCCTTTGGAAAGCTCTTAGAATTGGGTATAGAAAGAGATTCCAACGGTAACGTCTTACCCAAGAATGAGTTCTATTGATCTATATAGCTATTATATTTGATCGTAAAAATTCGGATTTTGCGACATAAAATTTCGTCATTTCTTTTCGTAATCTCGAATGATTTTTTCCCAATAAGTAGAGATTAATTCTTCGAATTTGAATTTGATAGAACATAGAATAAACCATAGAATAAAAGATATAGAGATGGTAGATATTCCAAGAATGGAGGACTATGATGTCTTCCCAAATACAGGTTTTTTGCCCTCGGAGTTTCCTTTGGTTAAGTTACCACAAGAATATTACCAGCCATGGGAAATATTAGTAAATAACTTGCCTTCATTAATATTGACTAAAAAAATAAGGTGGCACGTAGACACAAATTTACCTATATTATCTACAGATGAACTCAAAGACGTTCCACAATATAGAAGAGCTTATCAAGTGTTAGGATTCTTAGCACACGCTTATATATGGGGAACTGACAAACCAACTAACAAACTTCCGGAACAGATTGCCAAGCCTTTACTTGAAGTATCAGAATATTTGAGATTGCCACCTATAGCGACATATGCTGGATTATGCTTATGGAATTTCAAGCAAATAATGCCTAGTGATAAAGAAGGCGAAAAGTGGGACTTGGATAATTTGACCACGATAAACACCTTTACCGGATCCATAGATGAAAGTTGGTTTTATTTGGTCAGTGTTTACTTTGAGTACAAGGGATCATTTGCCATAAAGGCTGGTTTGGATGCCCTCGGCCATGCCCGTGGTGGAGATACTAAAAAGTTAACGGAGAGCTTACAAAGTATGGCCCAAGCCATAGACAGCTTAGGGTCAGTGTTGATGAAAATGGAAGAGATGTGCGATCCACATGTATTCTATTTTAGAATAAGGCCTTATTTGGCCGGGTGGAAGAACATGGGTGACGTAGGTTTAGACAAAGATGGAGTAATTTATGGAAATGAAACCAAACCAAGATCATACGCCGGAGGCTCGAATGCACAATCGTCATTAATTCAATTTTTCGATATTTTATTGGGCATTAAGCATTATCCAACCGGCGGAAGACCAGTTCCACATGAAAATACAACAGCACCGAAGAATGCTGAAAACAATTTCATGAATGAGATGCGTTCCTACATGCCGGGTGGCCATCAAGATTTCTTGATAAAGATTCAAGAAATAACAAATATAAGAGAATACGTTCTAGGCAAGTATGATACTAACCCAGAATTGACCTTAAGTTACGATGCGTGCTTGGCTATGTTGAAGCTGTTCAGAGATAAACATATTCAAATTGTCACCAGATACATAGTTTTGCAATCAAAACAAGCATCTAAAATGGGTTCTACTTCCACTTTAAGATCCGGTTTGGCAAAATCCAAGAGCAAAAGTGGAGAAGAAAGAGGTACTGGTGGAACCTCCTTATTACCATTCTTAAAGCAATGCAGGGATGAAACTGGTGATCCTGCTGCTGGTAGTTGGGGTAAAAGAATCCTTAGTGATGGTGTCATGAGATTAAAGTATTCAAAATCTAATGGTATAAACGAAGGTTAAGCTTTAAAATTATCAAGCTTAAGAATTCAGTAGTTTACTTTATTTTTAGTTCTTCAGTGTGTAAATTGCAGCTTATCTATATGACATAAAGATCTGTTTTACTCCGACCTCTTTGTATGTGTTCGTATTGTCAAAATTTGAGTCACAAAAAAAAAAAAAAATTTCACGAATTTTCCAATATCAGGCTGTAGATAAACCTTCCTAAACTCTCTTTTACAAGTTTATGTTTCAAAGGTTATTCACATCTATTCCACGAAACTGTAATATAAGAAAGATGTCCGACGCTCCACTTGTTGCGGCAACTGAAGCAGCAGCCACCGCTGTTTCAAATGCTAAACCACAATCTTCGAAGAAGGCTAGTAAGAAGTCTAAGAAGCAAGATCAATTTTTATTAAAGACTCCAAAGGGTACCAAGGACTGGGCTGATAAAGACATGGTTATCAGAGAAGCAATATTTGGTACTTTGACTTCATTATTTAAGAGACATGGGGGTGTAACTATAGACACGCCAGTTTTCGAGTTAAGGGAGATTTTAACTGGAAAGTACGGTGAAGACTCGAAGTTGATATATAACTTAGAAGATCAAGGTGGTGAATTGACTTCATTGAGATATGACTTAACGGTTCCGTTTGCAAGATTTGTTGCGTGTAACAGTATTAGTAGTATCAAGAGATATCACATCGCTAAAGTCTATAGAAGAGATCAACCAGCCATGACTAAGGGTAGAATGAGAGAATTCTACCAATGTGATTTCGATGTGGCCGGTAACTTTGATACAATGGTCCCTGACTCAGAAATTTTAGCTCTTTTGTGTGAAGGTTTAACAAACTTAGGTGTCAAGGATTTTAAAATTAAATTGAATCATAGAAAAATTTTAGATGGTATCTTCCAAGCATGCGGTGTTAAAGACGAGGATGTTAGAAAGATTTCTTCTGCTGTTGATAAGTTAGATAAATCTCCATGGGAAGCCGTAAAGAAAGAAATGGTCGTTGAAAAAGGCCAACCTGAAGAAGTTGCTGACAGGATTGGTGATTTTGTTAAGTTGAATGGTTCAATTAGAGACGTTTTACAAATCTTACAATCCAATGATTTATTGAAAGAGAATGAATCTGCTCAGAAGGGTATTGAAGAAATGAGCATCTTGGCTGACTATGTTGATGCTTTTGAAATTGCCAATTTTACCGTCTTTGATTTATCATTAGCCAGAGGTTTAGATTACTACACAGGTTTAATTTATGAAGCCGTTACATCTGCATCTGCACCACCAACTAATGCCAATGAATTGAAGGAAAAAGCTCAAAAAGAAAAGGCTGAAGTTGAAGATGCTTCTGAATACGTTGGTGTTGGTTCAATCGCTGCTGGTGGTCGTTACGATAATTTAGTAGGTATGTTTTCTAATGGTAAATCAATCCCTTGTGTTGGTATTTCCTTTGGTGTTGAGAGAATCTTCTCAATAATCAAAGCAAGAGCCTCCAAGGAATTGGAAAGAATTAGTTCTTCACAAACGCAAGTTTTTGTCATGGCTTTTGGCGGGGGCGAAGGCTGGAATGGTTTCTTAAAGGAAAGAATGGCTGTGACCAATAAATTATGGTCAGCGGGTATTAACACTGAATATTTATACAAGAGTAAAGCGAATATCCGTAAACAGTTTGACGCTGCAGAAAAGTCTGGTGCTCAAGTTGCTATAATTTTAGGAAAAGAAGAATATCCTCAAGGCCAATTGAGAATGAAGGTTTTAGGCCAAGGTGATGATAGCGATCAAGGTGAGATCATTAAAGTTGATGAGCTTGTTTCAGTTGTTCAAGACAAGTTATCCAGCTTAAATAAGGATGGCTTAGATGAAATTACGCGTTTGATTAAAGGTTTGTAAATGTAAATATTCTAATATAACGTCATACATATCTATTTATTCCTATTTAATTGACATCTAATTTAATTCCAACATTGTACCCATGCTTTTCTTTGCCGTTTCTTTTGACTCTATTCCACAAAGTATTTATATCACTAAAGCAAAACCACCAAATCACACCACACCAAGACTCGACCTGAGGCAATGGATCATAAAACTCAGCTGCAATCCTTCTTAATTCTGGTAATTTGGTCCAGGCGATATATGGGAAATCGTGGTGTTCATTGTGATACCCAACATTCCAAGTTAACCTGTTCAATGGACCATAGTAAGAGTATGTCTCTTCTGGCAATAAGTCCTTACTGATATTACCCATAGCCTTTTCTGAGTTTCCAGATCTTGATGTGTTGTTTTCATTCAAAACATAGTGTTCGGCGATGAAATGGCCGGCGCATGGGTGTAACGACCCAGCCAAAAACGAACTCATGATGAAATAACCAAGGGATCTTCCACCCCAATTATGAACCATAAGATAATCGACCAATACCTGATAAGCAATGTTCAATAAGTGAATGTAGGTAAACTTGATTTGAGTGACAAACATTGGCCTTAACGCATAAAAAAGGATCTGGAATACAGCAAAAAATACTTTGCCTAAAACATTTGAAAGAAAAATACCCTCAAACTTGGTTGGTAAATCAGCATCCAAGTATTCATCGCCTAAAAACTTGTGGTGTAACTGATGATATGGCTGAAACGAAGCTGAATATGGAATCCCGATTGGCATATTAGTGAAAATTGCAAACAATTTATTATGAAGTGGCTTCTTGAATAACAAATTATGGGATAATTCGTGAATGGCTAAGAATATTGCCTGATTACACGTAGCACCGATCAAATATGCCAAAGCTATGAATTTAAAGCTAAAAAGCGATGTGTTTCTTAAGTAATAAGCGACTGAAAATTGTAGTATTAATATTCCAAAAATATACCATTTAGTTTTGGGTTCGTACCCGGTTAATTTTCTGACCTCTGGATACTTTGCCAATATTTGTTTTCTTCTAGTAACATGTGGTTCTGATTCCTTCGTCCAGTAGAATTCGTTTAACACTTCAAGTGTAGAATCCGCTGGAGGAGTTTCGAACGTATATGTTTCATTGTTACTTCTGTGTGTTATTTCACCCATTTTGTTTGGAATAATTACTACCTTACAGTATTAAATCCACTATAACTAACTCTTTATGGCCTATTTGAAGATTGTTTAAGAAGAAAATTGTAGATCTTAAATCACACCATAAATATTTTCGAAGATCGAGATACTCGAAATTTCAGACACAGCCAAATTTGACACGACTAACTGATAAAAATGTACGTTTTATACACTATTGTTATATTAATAGCCCTCTAAGATGACCATTATATTGGAATAATATACCTTAATATTATTGAAGAAATTTTACCGTGAAAGTGGTTTTATTCGAATTTATTTAGTATAAAATGTTGTTCGAAGAGGTCTTTTTGCACCCGTTCATAGGTTTTTCTAAAATTATACAAATTTATAGAAAATTAAGACTCGAATAAACATGCTTTAAAGAAAACCATATATATAAATTAACAGGTGCAAGTACCTGTGATACGTACTAATCTAGCATTATAGATGTAAAATCGCTTTTTAGTAAGAGTGACAGATGAACTTCATTGTATGTACTGCTTTGCTGATTCTATAAATAACACGTAAACAATATATACACATACATATACTGGTAGCCAGAATGAGCCGTAAAGTTATAAAATGCTATATAATAAAACTAGCTCCTGCGTTACAAATATCAAGGTAAAGAGTAAAACCTCATAATAATCCGCCGCTTACCTCGGTTTCTCCAATATTATATTTCCATTGAAGACTTCACGAAGGATATGGAGCATTTCCGTAGCGATTTGGTTTTTGCCCCCGGTTCTGCGGAGGAGGAGGAGGAGGAGGAGGAGGAGGAGGCGGTTGCATATGTTGTGGTGGTCCCATAAACTGGTTATAAAATTGACCATATTGTGGATATACCTGTGCAGGTGCTGGAGACGCTGAGGCTGCCGGAATTGGTGATTGGGATGCACCCTGTAATGCACCCTGTAATGGCTGCTGTTGAAGCGAAGGTGGTATTGAATGTGACAGCAGCTGCGAAGACATTGGCATGAAACGGTCGTTTACTCCACGATAGTAAGGTGTGCTGCTACCCGCTTGAGGTTGATTTGGGAATGGATTGAAATATTGCGGGTAAGGCTGCTGGAATACTTGCGAATAGTTAGGCGAGATATGTGTTCCTTGAGTTATTTGAGAAGCCATTGGCACTCCACTATACATAGGATAATCATTAGGGGCAGATGTATTGGAGAAAGTAGAATTTAACGCGTTAAAGGATTGAGATGGAGTTCCGGAACTAATAACTTCATTAATACTTCCATTCTTCCAAATATTTGGCGCATTAGAATTTACACTCTTAGGCTCACTATTAGATGACTCAAGAACTAATGAATCCACCATGTTCTTAAGCCCATTTTCCCTTTGTGGGTCTTGAGTTAAAATGTCATCAGTACTTGAATTGACCACAACGGTTTTATCACCAGGATTCTGCAACAAGCTATCCTGTAATTGAGAAGAATGACTGAGAATAAAAGAATTGAGCTCTTGAAGAGAATTTGGAATTTGAATTCCTTCTTGCTCTTTTGCGTTTATATCCTCAAAAGAATTCTCAACTTGAATGCTCTTCTTGTCTTTCTTGTTTTCTGAATTTGATGGAATTTCATGTTCATTCTTAGCTTTTCCAGGCCTATTTGCCTTAACCTTGGGCTCTTTCTTTTTCGTTTGAGTTTTGACATTAGACTTACTGGTTTGATCAGAGGTTTTAGATTGGTCTTTGCCCTGAGAGTCTTTGACTTCTAGTTTGACTTCTACATTTTCCGTAGTAGTATCGCAAATGACAAATTTACCTTCATTGTAATCAAATTCGATGCCATATGGATTGTGTTCAAGTAGTTTTTTACTTAACAAAATCACAGATTTTAATCTTAAATTATTCTCATAATGAATAATTTCGATATCAAGAAATTCACTCTTTTCAATGTGAGAGTTACTCTTCTTATCATCGCTTTTGTTGTCAATTAATTGTTTGTACAAATCATTGTCTAAGAATGATGGTACAAGAGTGTTTCTATTTATCAAACTTGAATAATCTCCAACAAGTAAATTGATATTATTTGACGCAAAAATATGATCGTCTTTGAAATCCTTGAGTTGAAACTTGATAATCAGAAAGTCTCTAAAGTAAACATCCTCCTTAAAATAATAATCTCTCACTGGCCTCGAATTTGATTTAATTAAATCAATTATTTTTTCCCGATTTATGTCTTGACTAAGTGAATCATAAGCATACATATCAGAAGTCATTCCGTTTAATAAAGTAATTATGTTCACCATAACGCTCTTTCTAGCTTGAAAATTTCTCAAAACAACTTTATTTTCCTTAAACCAGTTAAATAATAACCTTAGAATAATTAGAACTACCCTTTTACTTTGATAGTCGAATTCCAAGGAGACACATGATTCTAGAAGTTTATTTATATAACGAAATGTAAACTTAATAAATTGTTCTGATATTAACTTATCACTACCCCGTTCAAATAGTTTGTTAAACGACATTAACACCACTAGTTGCTTAACGTAGAGATTTAAATCCTCTTCTTCATATCTAAGAATGTATTTATCAAATGACTCGAATAATTTTTTGAAAAAGTCTCCCTCAATTTTTGAATACTTAACATTTTTAGTGATTGTGTTATTAGACTGATGATAATACTCGGGAACATAATAATAACATATCAAGCAGATGAGAGTGATGTTTAATTCATCTATTTTCGACAAAGAAATTTTGTTCTTCTTATTTGGATTATTGAAGGAAATTAAATGGTTAATAAACCAATCTTTTCGTAAAATTGTATTCAAGTTGGTTAAACCTAATTTGTAATCGGGAAGTCTTGTAAACTGAGATCTTAAAAACCAATAGCAAGCATCATATTTGCTATCCATTAAATTGTAGATCATTCCAATATGATTATATGGCTCATTGAGTGCTGGTAAAAGTAATATACAAAACTTATAGAAATTCAATGCCTTCTCATATAATGGCTTCATTAGCGAAACCTTTTCCTTGCTTGTCAGATTCCTCAAATGATAATACTTCCAAAAATTCTTAATTGATAAACACGGGTTAACATATGAGATTTCCATAAATGATCTATGACGAGATATATCACCCAACGACAATAGACATCTGTGAATGAGGAATATTAAATTTGCTTGCAAATTGGCGTTAAATGTTTTAATAGCATTATTGGGGATGATGAAATTGAAATGAGCTAAAAATGTGTCTGGAACTAACGGATTCTGGAAATGGGTTGAGAAATATTTCAATAATGTAAAGTAGAATTGATAAACTTGCTTCATGAATTTATTAAAGTTATCATTGATTTTTCTGATCTCTACTGCTTTCAACGATTTGTCTTTCCCATTCGAATCAAGAACTTTCTTACTGAAGTCATTATAGTACGTAGCATGATGAAACTGAAAAAACTTAATAATTGGGTAATGGAATTCGGTCCAGAGAATTTCAAATATCTTTATCGTTTTGAATTCTAGGTCAAGTTGATTATTTGGAACGTCGTTTTCCGACTGACTTTCATACGCTTTTAAGTTATCGTAATAATCGTTACAATCTGATAAAATCAAAGTCTGAAACTTTGATTGAAGCACATTATTAAATCCTAATAATAAGGATTGATCGATGAACTTCTTACTCAAAAATTCATTCAATTGGGTCTTATATGTTTGGATCTCTTCGATTGTAGACGGAGTAGCCATTGTACTATGCAATGCTTATCTGTGTTTACTGAAAAAATTTATATGTCTTGATCAATTTATCTCCTCCACCTGAAATCTATAAAATCCTGGAAGTTATGCAAACTGTATATGAATAGGGTACTAAAGATTAAAAACACAAAAAAACTATATCATTCTATTAAAGGAATGAACTTCATGTAGACAATTCTTATGATAATAGAACACTTTAAGGTGTAACAAGTTCGTTAGAACAGATCATAAGATTGGCTGGGTCGAAAATTTTTTTTGTTACAAGCGCATACACGACCGCTTTGCTTTGACTATGATGGCAAAACTACTTCTATTCTCTTGAATATAAGTGGCGTCAGACGTATTCATAACACGAATAACTCTTCTGTGATAAGCCAACTCAGTGACGATCATGACTCAGGACGAAGAACCATCTTTTAAAGTAAAGGTATATGTTTATGACCTTTCTCATGGATTAGCAGCCGTTTACGCCCCTCTGATACTTGGGATAAATATTGATGCCATTTACCATACATCAGTAGTTGTGTATGATAAGGAACATTACATCAACCAGGGAATTAGCACCTCAACGCCTGGAACCACTAAATATGGCACTCCGATAGAAGTTCTTGACATGGGCGAGACGTTTGTTACCCCAGATATCTTTGAAGATTTTCTTGATGAGTTACGGAACCACGAAGACCTCAAATATAATTCCGTTAAGTACGATTTGTTTGATAACAACTGTAATCATTTCACAGACGTGTTACTTGATTTTTTGGTCGGCAAAAACCTCGAAGATCGTATTTTGAAGCTTCCACAGCAGGTATTGAACTCTCCAAACGGCCATATCTTACGACAAATGATCGGCTCGTACCAGCCTTAGCTATGAGTCGAGTTAGAGACGCTATTGAGTGTAAATTCTGTACTATAATTTATTATGGAGAAGAAAAGCCTAACCGCAGACTCATAATTTTAATGTGGCAGCCAAACCTCAATATAAGAATCCTTGTGTTTCATAGATGTTGTAAAAAGAAGATAAGTTTTTTTTTCTTACTTATAAACAATAATATATGCCAGTTTAGTAAAGGACAGGTATAATGGATAAATCTACTACAGTATGTTGTCGTTGCGTCGAAAAGGGAGAAATTCGGAATACTAACCACGTAGAATCAATATGTGAATATGAATACATCGCAGATGAACTCGCTGATAGATTCGTCTATCATGTCAAATGAATCGAGCCAGCAATCAATGCTTACTGAGAACCCACTGGTCAAGTTCTGGCAGACGAATAACTATAAAAATTCGATTACTAGTCCCATTCATCTCCAGAGTCCGACCAATTTCCAAACGGGGACGTTTCAGACCCAGCCTGCCAATGTTGAACCCATTAGTAATAATAACTCGATGAATGTGAATGCACCAAGCTACGTTCCTTACAATTACAACAACAATTACCAGCACTATGATAAGTATTACAATAATCAGAGTTGTGAACTTTATGATAGGTCGTCGTTGCAGAATTTTGCAATCAATACCAATAAAAAGGACAAGATACAGGAGGAACTCGAGAGAACAAAGGTTGATTTAGTGATCAAGAACCAACTAATTAAGAATCTTTCAGACCAATTGAATACGCTCAATAAGTTGAAGAATGTGAAACATAGTACCGGCAACAGCTTCAAAGTTCCTCAGAATTATTACGAGCTATTTAAGGATTTGACGAAGACCTTGAAAGACAAGACTGTTGAGCTTGAAGAAACCAAAGAAAGGTTGGAATCGATTGTTGTGGCATTATCTATGAACAACCATCGTTCGTTGCTGGTTAATGGCGAGTTTGACGAACAGGAATTGGCGCATAAAATTATCAATAAGCTCTCATTGTTACAAAATGAAAATGAGAATTTGTTGAAGATGATTAGCTCGAGTAATAAACTGAGCCTAATAATAGAATTGGGACTCTTGAAGAATGAAAATTGCCAACTCAAAGAAAAATTGAAGAATTTTGAAAAGTAAAAATAAACAGAGGACTTGTTTTTGCTACATAATTTAATCCATGTTTTACTAATTGTCATTTTATTGTCTGTATCCGTGAACATTTCTTACTATCTATAATGTCTTCTTTGCAGCAGTTCGGTTTGTTGAAATTTTTTTATTAAAACTCTTTTTGCTCCCCTTTTTTTTTCAAAAAAATAAAAATAAACCACCTTCAACTCTTACATGCATCATCTCGTTGACCATCTTCACATTATCTACATTTGGTGGTCAGCTAGAGTAGATTTTCTAGTCAAGTAGTTGCTAAAAATCTGGTGATGTTTTTTACACGACCTAAGTAAATGAAAAATTATAAAGAGGAAAACACGTCCGCTCATTATAAACAATTGAGTTTAGCATAAGCGGTACATATATATACGAAGGACGATGACTTATACTTCACCAGCAGTTGTCATAGACAATGGATCTCATACTACGAAAGCTGGGTTTGCCCTGGATGATTTACCATCATTGGTATTCAATTCAAACTATGTGGTAGATTCAAATTCCAAAGTTCAGGTTGGAGACAAACAAATAGACGAAAACCCAGAGAGCGAAATAATGACATTCATGGAAAACGGATTAATCTATAACTTTGATAATATAGTTCACAACTGGCAATATGTCTATGATAATATTGATAACAATAATGCAATAAATGCTAAGGAATTTCCATTAATGTTAACAGAACAGCCATGGAATACATCCAAGAATAAATTAGCTACGACCCAGATAGCATTCGAGACTTTAGAGGTGCCTATCTTTTCACTTGTTAAGACTCCTTTGTCACAATTATATCACATGGGAAGATCGACTGGTCTTGTCTTAGATATTGGATCTTCAGTCGCCAGCGTAACGCCTATATTGGACGGTATCATTCAATCAAAATCCTCTTTCCATTCTAAATATGCTGGAGATTTTGCAAATTTACATGCATTAAGTTTTTTGGAATCCAATGTTTCTATTGATAACTTGATACCTATGAAGTTCCAATCTACCAGAATGTCACAATCATTTAAAGATTATCAAATAAGTTATAATATATTACAAGATTTCAAGAGCTCAATGCTCAATGTTTGTGAGATGCCAGCCGGACAATCAACGAATGCATTAAACCCAAAGAATTACCAATTACCTAATAAGAGTCATATCGGGATCAGTAGGGAACAAATTAATTTGTTAGAGAATTTATTTCAACCAGGTTTTTCGCCATTACTGAACTTGGCCATACCCGAAGTCAACTTTAATAAACCCTCAACCAATGGTTTATCGAGCTTGATATTGTTAGCTTTAAAGAATTTAGAAAGTTCCTTTATTCCAAACAATGAACCAATGAACACAACAAATGTTAACTCCCGTTATACAAAATTCAATGAAATATTGAGAGAGTTGTTATCAAACATTTTAATTACAGGTGGTTCTTCATTAACTACTGGATTATCTCAGAGAGTGATAAATGACATTTATAAGTCTGCTCATCAATTCTTTCCAAATTACATTTTTACGCAACCTGGTAGATTAGTATTAGGAACGCTAGGTAATTATCAACAGAATGATATCAACGAGGTTTGGGATAAAAAATTTGGTTCGTGGTTGGGTGCATGCAATTTGGCCAGTATGTTAAATGATAATGATAATCAAGAATCAAACGGTATCAACATTGCTTTAGACAATTGGTTTGTTACGAAGAGTGATTATGAAGAATTAGGTGAAGATTTAATTTTAGAAAAGTTTAAATAGTGTATTTAAATAGTGTAATTGTATACGTGTGTTAGATTAATAAATTCTTATATTATTAAATATTTATATTTACAGGAGACCTTATTCTATCCAAGAGACGTATTTGTTATCGTATTTTGACGCTTCACCATGATGATCTAAAATGGATTGAACTTTCAATTCGACTCCTAACTTATTACTTGTGGATTGCTTGAAATACTTTGTTACTTCAGTTGGAGTTGGCAAGTACGATCTACCAGATCCATCATTACCAGTTATATAACTTTTAACTTGGTTACCATTTGGCAAACCCATGTTATATGGATAAGACTTATAGTTAATACCGAATAACTTTTCAATTAATGGTTCGTTCAATTTAGTAGAATGAATTGATTTGCTGAGAGCTTTCTGAACAAATTCAGAAGAAATACCACTTGGTTGTTTATTCAGATTCCATTCTGGGTATGCTGGTTCCTTGATCTTGTCGATCAACTTGTGAGAAACACCTTTGACAAAATCATTTTCTTCAGGCTTGATATTGATCAAATTGGTAGCAGTAATCATCTCCAATTCAAATTGTTGACGAATAGAGTTTTGGCCACCACGGTTCAATAACTCAAAGGCAACTTTTAAGGATGTTGGCGATTTCAATAATAAAGTCTTATAAGTCTTTTGAGCAAATTCGGAACCGTCTTTTTCCAAATAACTCAATACCTCTTCAATTGAAGGTTGCGAAAATGCATTCTTGATTAATTTTAATTGCTCAGTGGTAAATGGGTATTTATAGTCTTCTGGCAACTTGTTTTCGGTGAATTCTTCAATAGCCTGGTTCACTTGCGCGTAGTATTCCTTGTTGTTATTCAATATCGATGCGTGGTTGTCTTCAGGCTTGTTGTCATTCACACTTGGAGGTTGCAAGTTGGATAATCTGTTGACCAATGAATCAATTCTGTCAGATGGAACGTAATGGGTAGCAAAACCCAACATGTAGCAGTCTAAACCACTCAACACCTGTCCGGTCAACGCAAGGTAGTAACCGATTTTATCGTCCAATCTTGGCAAAAAAAAAGTAGTCCCCACATCCGGGAAAAACCCAATATCCGTCTCTGGCATCGCCAACTTAGTTCTCTCGGTGGAAACTCGGAATGGTGCGTGAACTGACAATCCTACTCCTCCCCCCATCGTGATTCCGTCCATCAACGCCACATACGGCTTAGGATACGTTGATATCAAGTAATTCAAGTTATACTCCCGTTGGAAAAAATCAGAAGCATACGCTTCATTTCCCGCCTTGATCTGTTTGGCACATTCTGTCACATCCCCCCCAGCACACAATCCTTTTTCCAATGTCGAGTTCAAAATAATCACATTGTTCACACTCGACTTCGAATATTCCAATAATCTAGGCATAATCTTGCTCACCATCGAAGTGTTCAATGAATTCAATTTTTTAGGTCTGTTCAACGTCACAAGTCTGGCCATGTTTTTGTTCGAGAATAAAACATCATCCTCCGCATATCCAATAATATTGGAACCAGTTGAATAGTTAGATGTCATCTTAGTTAATTGAGTATTAAATTTATTATTTGAAATTACCTTTTTCAAATTAGCTTTCAACATTCTTTCAAAATTTTATATCCCCTTTTCCTGAATTTCGTTCCTTCTTATATACTGGTTCGTTTACAGCAATTGTGTAACTCAAACTTATTCGGGTATGATTCCTGTGATCCTTCAAAAACTTTTTCTCCTCAAAAAAAGACGATATATGACACAAAAGCGGATAGTGGACGAGTTCCGAGAGGAACTACCGGAGGATGAATTACGAGGCATAGTCAAGTCACGCGACGCCGCACATAATGGGGCCTTTATAGACCCTCGAAAGTATAATAGGAAGCCCCATGCCCCATTATTCACTTCATACCAGTTATGGTCCAAGGTCCGACAGGATCACAATAGGCTGTACTGAGCGATTAGGTTGCATTCATGACGCAGATCGGATGGCTCCGGCAGATCAGAGGGTTTTGGGAGTTGGTAGTGGTAGAATTGACCCGTTTGATAAGATGCGAGCATTATCAAGTGGCCATTATTGTTAGTGTTAGCAAAACCAATGGCCACTTTGTTTTTGGACTGGTGGAGATTGAACAATTGGGGAGGGATGTACTCTGGTAGCTTGATGTAGGCGAAGGACCTTCTGGGGGGCTCCCAGATGAGGTTTTCGAAGTAGTTTTTGTAGGGCAAGTTCTTGACGATGGTCTGGGTGTAGGGGTTGTTCATGAACCTGGACGAGCCCTCGACCTTCTTCTTAAGGACATCGAAATACGACGACTTGGCCAGGTCTTTTTGGTCGGGTGCCGATGCGTCGGCGGTCTTGGAGATGAGCAAGTTGGCCAAGTTCTGGTTGAGGTCCTCCGAAGACCTGTCTTCGTTGTCGGGATCGCTCTCGTTGGCAGGGTCCTCTTCGTACTCGAAGCTTTCATGCGGTTGCTTCAGGAGCCTGAAGAAATGAATTGTATTGGACTCGGATCCGCATCCCAATATCAGGTTGTCGAGGCTGAAGCTCAAGCAATTGACCTTGGCTATGTTGTGGCCCCGTCTCAAGTTAATTATTTGCGATATCTTGAACGGCTTAGATACGTCGTCGTCATCCGACGACTCTAAGTGGCAAACTCTAATAATGGTCCCTTTTGATGATGCGGTGGCTATCTTCTTGTTATCGTTGGAAATTGTGATTTTGGCTAGAGACGAGTCGTGGGCCTTGTAGATCAACCTGGGCTTGAGCTTAATGGTATCATATATTAATACCCACCCATTCGAGTCCTTCTGTAAATCTTCTAGAGTAATGATGTCTTTATTAATCTTATTCTTAGTAAATTCAATGAGCGGCTTGAGAGACGTAAGAATATTTGAATCGCTAGCCCTCGTCACATTTACACCATTTTCGGTATTGAATAAGTCTGTTTGTTCCGTTATATTTGAAATTGGTAACACAAGTAACGACTTGTCGTCTGCCCCGAGGTCTCCAACAAATAGTTTCTGGTGGGTTTCCTCCTCGCTGTCGTTAGAGGAAAACGAACTGATTTCCAAGACTTTAATTAACCTCACACAGCTCAAATCATAGATGTATATCTGCCCACTCTCTAATATAACACAGAGCCTTTTCCTATTCAATTTGACATCTATTATATGCGAAGGGAAGGTCAATTCACATATCTTCATATTTTGCTTCAAATTATATATTTTTAATAGCCTGTTCCCCACAGATTCATTCTCGGGAATGATAATAGTAAGTGAAGTAGAAAACAACATTTTCAAATACAGAGTCGGAGAATCTTCTCCTATCTTATTATATTCATTGCCATTGCCTTTGTCAATAATAATTTCTTTGTCATTATCATTTTGCTTATCGCCTTTTGTACCCGATGAACCTTGATAAGAAGAATAGAATTCTCCAAACGGATCACAATTGAATATCTTGTGATACTTTGTAGTGGATACCGAAATACACGAGTAATCCTGATTAAATGTTAAGTTATTAATAATTACCATTGTTGTCCTTATTCCGTTTGCTCTTTATCAATTTAGCTATATGCTTATTAAATGACTTTTTTATTTAATCGCGTAGTGGGATTTTATACACTAAAACCTATAATAGAATCTAATAAATGAGTTACTATCTAATTCATTAAATATATTGGATATATATATATGGCCAAAGCGTATATCTACTCGTCAACTTCTTCTAATACAACTTTACGTTTAGTTGGGGCGTTTTCTGTTGGGTTGACACCAGTAGCAGCCCCCGAGCTCTCAGTCTCAGGCTTTGATACCGACTTATTAGACTTGCTCTTCTTCTTGGATTTTTTTGGTTCGTCCCATCCGTACAATGGTTGGAAACTTTCTAGAACACCGCAGTCTTCGAATAAGTTAGGATACAACCAAAATGCTCTTGGCAAGACAAGCAATGTAATAATGTAAATGATCAACCTAATGATGGCAATCAAAAAGAATAAACCTAACAAGCCTAATAATCCCATGGACAAGTACCACACCCCAATCTTCATAAAGTTAGGCCATAATGGGAACAAAATAATAGTAAATATACCCGCAATCAATAAAATACTGTATAATAAAATGAATGGGTTTGGCTTGCTATAGGTCCAAACAAAATAAGCATTTGGCTCTATATTGGCCTTGGTCGATTGTTTTAATGTTGGCTTGGTCTTATTTGGCTTCCAGCTCTTATTTGTTTGCTTAATTTCATTATAATGTAACTTTTCTACCGGAATAACAAATTGACTTTGAATTAATGTAATAAATACTTTTGCAGCTTCTTGTTCGTCGGCAATTGGAATCAATCCATTCTTATGATTTGCTTGTTTAGTCTTATAGTCTTCACTTAATAACGCTCTGGCTAATCTCTTATATCTGAAAAATTCCACATCTTCAGAGTTATTCAACAAACCTGTTCTTTGCTTCAAAATTGTATTATCCTTCAAATAATTAGCTATATTTATGGCCACTTGCGACCTTTGATTCGAAGTAGTGATTGGAACTTCCGCCATATTTATTGATTTAGCTTAATTGCTATACTGAAGTAAATCATTTGGGACCAGCTTATACGTGTTCAACGATTTTTTCAGGTAAATATCGAGGGAGTGCGCCTTTCAAAAAACTACTTATCTATTACTATATATCTATAATATACTCTATTTCTTCTTTTTATGCAAGAATTTGGTGTTTAACTTCATGCTATGGGGAGACTTAATTGGCGTGTGTTGTATGGTTGCATTAGGTGAGCCTGGTGTAGGTGTATGTGGTTGAGGCGATGCAGAAAGCGAATGAGATGGCGAAACACGACGAGATTTTGGTAAATTCAACGATAAAAATGATTTACTTGTCATCGGAGAGCTCGTCTTTCTATTATGTATTGAGCTGTTATTAATCGGAATTGGAATTGACGCTGTAGAATATGGTGTGATCTTGTTATCATCATCGTATGTAGGAGCCAATTCATTTTGATC